AATCAAGGCGGCTTAGCATCACATGGGGGCATAACCTAGGGCGGTCTGCATGCAAATACAGCCTGCCTAGGGACGCCCACTCCTCCAGACTGACATCCACCCATCTAGGCATTTTGATATTTGCATAACTCCTCCTACAATCCAGCCCACTGCTTGCATCAGGAGTACTGAGGCAGGGTGCTGTGATGTTTTCAGGAAGCTATGCACAGCACCCTGCATTGCATGTGATGACATCATCGGGTATAAAATGGCACGTGCAATCAAAATAGAAAGGTTTTTATTTGAATAATATAATTGGCATGTTGATGAGAGGGGAGGAACCAGGTAAGGCAAAATAAAAGCAGATTGCCTTGTCTGGGTGCCACTGAACACTTACAAGTAAATCCAGCAGGAGAGCCCAGAGTGAATGCTGCTGTGGGGACAGCAGAGGGGAGTCTCGAGACTCTCGGCAGTTCGAAGACATACAACCATCCCTTCTTTTGAGTTGTGCTGCAGACTGGAGCCCTCCATATACAGGAATATATCTGTTATGAGTTGATAGAATGACCTAGTGGGCCAGTTTTGAGGCCTAGAGCTGCCATTGCCATGTCTGCCTTGTACATCGATATGGGCCTTCTCAGTACTGACAGAAAGTCTTTGTGCACATTGGAATGCGGGGCATGGAAGGTCAAGGAACATGAAGGCCGATACATCTGTAATGAGCTCTCATTTTCCATCGGAACACGGCCGTTCCCAGTTTGCTGGCGCTATTGGAAAATGATCGTTCCGGGATACTGAAGATCTATGGCGTTGGGTTAAAAGCCTCTCTGGAGCACTGGAGGGGGTTGGTGGTTCACTTTTGGGAGTTGAAGGTAGCCCTGGGCAGGCGTGTCACTGATGCCTCAGACACGGGCTATGCCTGGGAAGTAGGGTTGCCACCTTTTCTTCAAGTGAAACCCGAACACTAGCGCCGTGCGCGGCAATTCTTTTTTTTCTTTGAGAGAGAGCAGCCAGGGGAGGGAGTAACGAGACCGGCTATAGAGGACTACAAATCCCAGCAATACATTATAAAGCAATACAAAACATAGGAAGCTACATACTCGATGTTGTACTGGGTTGGCGCCCTAATGTCTCTAGGTAGCCTAGTGGCCTGTGCGGGTTCTCAGGTGGGCTGTGCGCGCTCTCAGATGGGCCGTGCAGGCTCTCAGATGGGCCGTGCTACTCTCAGGTGATCCATGCGGACTCTCAGGTGGGCCGTGCGACTCTCAAGGCTGTCTGGGCTATGGTATCTTACCAGGGGTCCGCAGGCGAGCAGCACGGTGTCAGGAGGAGGAGGAGCAATCACAGATGATGCTGCCGAGAACCCCGGCAAGCACGATCTCGGGCGGCCGCATCTGTTTGAAACCCGGATCTTCTTACAGGCGCCCGCAGCTCAGAGGAAGATCCGGTTTCAGACTGATGCGGCTGCCCGAGATTGTGCTTGCTGAGGACCAAAGCAGCCTCATCTGTCAGAAAATTTAAAGTGCCGGTGTCGGCACTGAGTGTCTTGTGTTCGGGTGCCCACTGGCTGGACACCCGGACACAAGACTCCAAAACTGGACTGTCTGGCAGCCACCTCTGGGTAGGAAACCTGGCTGGAGTTGGACAACATCAATGCAAAATGCCATTGATCGCATCACATGTGGCAAAGTCATCTCGCTTGGTGAAGGCCTGAATGACCCTGGAGGCCCTCCATGCAGTGAAATACCTGTATTCTACTGTACTTCCAGATAGGGTTATTTGGGGCCTGGTTGTTGATGCTCTCTAATTACCCGGCTCAGTCTGGCGCTCAGCACGTGCCGCGGCTTTGTCTAACGGTCTCGCATGACAGAGGATTTCCCCCGGGCTTTTACAGCTCCAGGATGGAATTGTGTGCAGACAATGAGCTGGTTTGTTTTACCGCAGGGAATTGTTGTGTGTGTGTGTGTCTCATAATACACACCACCTCCCGGTGTCTGCCGTGACATCTGTCTGCTGCGATAAAACCACACAGGTTGTAAGGCCCTTCGAGTCATTGTAAGGCCTGTCGAGTCACTCGGGCTCAGATGAACCTGGTGGAAAATTCCAATTTCGAGCAAAAATATTTTGTCAAATTGTTGGCCGTTTTCCCCCTTCACAATTGACGGGTGCGTAGTAGGGTTGTCCTCTGGGTCATAATGGAAGATATATGTCTTGGTAGCCCCCCTCCTCCGGGCTGTGAGTTATTACTGCACTCAGACTATATTATTTTCCCCTCTACCTCTCACTACATTTACTGCCGGGCAATGACCATCCATGAAAAGGTGCCCCGTGCTGCTTCCTTGGATAATTTTTTTTTTACACCTTCTCTCACCGTCTCGGAAAGGTGACCTTACTTATGGGAGGATAAACACGAGCTTTGTATGCCTGAGACATTTTACTATGGCTATCTTTTATTTATATAGCGTCATATATTTTGCAGGTCTTTAGAGGAGACATCGAGCAATGCAAAAACAGCCCCTGCCAAGTAAAGGCAGCAATTCAATATCCCTAATGGACAAACACAAGCTGGGGTCAATTATAAAGGTCAGAGCTTACAAAACATAGGCGTCATCTAGTAGGCTCCCGGGTCTGTAAACCTTCCGAGAGGTTCACACTTCCCTTGTTGGATTTTTAGTTCATTGTATAGGTTAGGGAAGAGTGGGAAGGCCCAATGACGGGTGAAAACACCCAGAGCCAAGAGCTACGGGGATATGAAGGTCTCACTACCAGAGTCCCCAAGACATAGAAGAGGCCAATGAGTGACTTAGCACACCAGACTTATTCTATAACTAGGATATCACTTTTACATGGACTGGGCCATTGGGAGAGCCGAGGCTCCCATCTTGTACTGTGTGTCGGCATTGCCTGACTCCTGAAAGCAGTGGTAGTTGGCCAGTTCATGGGTGATGCCATTGCAAAGGGCTCCTATTCTCCTACCTGGACCGTTACTTCATTATATAGCATAGGAAATACAGAAGGAGGATTGGGAAAACCATAATCTCTGGAGCCAGGACATACATGGATACAAAGGTATCCCTGTCAGAGTTCCCAAGACGGATAAGAAGCCAATGAGCCACTTGGGCATTTCCGTATTCCTAAAAACAGGGTTAAACAGCATTGGCCAATGAGGCAAATGAGACAGAACCCAACCGGCACTCTGCTAATTTCAATGAAAACAGGTTTAGAAAATATTAATGTGTCGCAGAGCAATTTAATTGCCTTGCTGGAGCTTGCCGGAAACGGGGACCCCCTACTCGGGCGCTCGAAATTCTCGCAGAGCCGCAGCTGCGCTATTGCTTGGCAAGGGGTTAAATGCAAAATTGACTTTAGGCATCCTCCACTGGTGACCTTTGCTTGCATGCAAGGGGATGCTGGGAAACGAATCGCAAATTGCAGGACCCCAAGGAAGGTTGTCATGGCAACTCCGGCGGGGGGTAAAGCAATTAAAACAAACACAGCGAAGAGTCAGACCTCGAACAAAATTAAGAAAGCTTGCAGGTAGGCGCCTCTTCTCGCTACCCCACCCCCCCCCTCCAGGATCATTTGCATGCAAATCAGATCTGTTGCAAGTGTTGCTGGCAGTGCCAAGCCCGTCTCGTCTTCACCGGGGTGACCCTGGAGGGATGTCGCGGTGAATGCACGTTGAAAGGACGGCATGATGAATCCGCTCGGTATCAGCGGCCACGGAGACAGGATGATGGATTCATCACAAGGAAAGTGGACAGGGGTATCCATCATGCCGGAGGAGAGGCCTGGATAGCAAGCCAACTCCCGGGAGCCTCGCCGCGCTGACCGTAATTGCTGCACAGCGGCCAAAGGCCCCGTCGGTGCTGAGCAAGGGTAAACTCGATAATGAGGACGGCCTATGCGTCCCCAGGCGCCTCCGTCACGCAGACAATTTCACACCTATATGGGTCTCACAACACATTACCCAATGACATTTCATAATGGCTCCCAACGGTCCCTTTTACCGCCCAACCCCCCTCTGTCCCATTTCCTTCTGAGCTCTAAAGAACAGATCTGTAGAAGAACGATTTGTCCACCAATGCCAACCAACGGCATGTAATATGAGGACCTACCTAACCCATCCAATCCTTTTATATCCAATCAGACAGACCCCCATACTACATAGTGGTTGGTACAACAGAAGGACATTGTACAATCAGATTGTAACGTGTGTGCTGAGCTTTACTCAATGGATATGAATGTCTGGTCTCCAGGGCAGAGAGGAAAGCCTTAAAGTGCATGTAAACTCCAACAATGATCTTCTTTTATTTGTTCCCTTTTGGTGTGTTATATATCCCATTGAAAGCATTTCCTTATAGCTGTGCCAAAAGATACCTGTCCATCCTGCCAGAAATCTAGTGAGCCGATCACTTCCTGATCTGTCTCTGATTGTGCTGATTCTTATTCGCTATATTCTTTCCATTTATCTTTGTGGAGTACAGAATACCCCTCTCCTGTTTTATGGAGAAGAGAAGGGGAGGTGCCGGTGAGGGGTAGGTGGCAGAGTCTCTCTAAAGTTGATGACAGGGTCTCCTTAAAGATAGTGACAGGGTCTCCTTAAAGATAGTGACAGGGTCTCTTTAACGATAGTGACAGGGTCTCTTTAAAGATGGTGACAGGGTCTCTTTTAGGATGGTGACAGGGTCTCTTTTAGGATGGTGACAGGGTCTCTTTAAAGATTGTGACAGGGTCTCTTTAAAGATGGTGACAGGGTCTCTTTAAAGATGGTGACAGGGTCTCTTTAATATTGGTGATAGGGTCTCCTTAAAGTTGGTGACAGGTCTCTTTAAAGTTAATGACAGGGTCCCTTTAAACTTGGTGACAGGGTCTCTTTAAATGGCCGCACAGTGATGTCATAGCCGCAAACCATGTGACCTAGAGCTGCGTAAAAGCGGCGCCACATAGTACAAATAAAAAATGTTAATTTACTGAATTCTCGTTCCTCTCTCTCCCCCTCCCCCCTTCTCTCTGTACAGATCGCGGCGCTGGAGCGTCAAGTCTTCGACTTTTTGGGCTATCAATGGGCGCCCATCTTGGCCAACTTTCTACACATCATAGCCATCATATTGGGTCTGTTCGGCACCTTGCAGTACAGGCCGCGCTATGTCATCGCGGTAAGTGTGATGGAGAAGCGGGCACGGCGTCAGCGGGTCCATGTCTGCGCTACCAGAGGATTCTGGGAATTAAAGCAGTCACAGTTGGTTCATTAGTCTTAGCAGAATATACAAGGTGGTGTTCCTTTAAGAAAAAACCTGCGGTTAAAGTGCGTTTTCGAAGGGTGGACACCGCAAGATGGCGTCTGTTGCCCAGAGAGTGCTCCTCTCTGATTCGGTTCCACTGTATTACTGGGACCTGGCACAGCTCTATCGACCGCCATCAGTAAAGAACTCTCGCCGGACATGGGGGATGGCCGTTGATGGAGCTTTGCCATGAATGAAAGTGAATCAGAGACGGGCGCTGAAAAGGCTTCCCCGGCAATAAGGAGCACCCTGCGGTGTCCGCTCACAGGCAGGACTTTTCCTTTCAAAGTTTTAAACCCGGGTAAGGTTCACTTTAAATCTTAAAGCCACCAGCCTTCGTCTAGAAATGAAATAGCAGTATTTAGGTGAGAGAGCCCTTAAAGGAGCAATCCACCCCAGTCAGGGATCGTATATCCCTCTGGCCCCACATAGGAGTTGTAGTGCCGATTCACGTTGGGTGGTGCCAGCCTTTAATCCAATTGAATTATGTACGAGTCTGCTACTGCAATCCCCATTCCTCGAATTATTTGCATGAAGGCTGGGCACCGAAATCGAGTCAAATCTCCTCGGAGCGCCTAAAGCAGCTTTTCTCGGGAACAATTCTGGATTCTTCCACGCTGCAGCTAATACAAGAGGATTAAAATGAGTCAGCGTGACGCGTTGGTTTTTATTTTTAGAATCGGGATCGGGGAAGAGGCACTCGGCTCCTCTGCAGTCCCTTTAAATGAAGCGGTGCTCCCATTATTTGGGGGGGGGGGGG